TTGTAAAAGTCCCAAACTGGAAACAAGCCAGATGTCCTTCAGCAGGTGAATGGATAGGCAGGCTGTGGTGCATCCGTTCATACCATGGAATACTTCTCAGCAACAAGAAGGAACAAACTATTGATAACAAGGAAGAACCTGGATGAATCTCCAGAGAATTATGCTCCGGAAGAAAGCCAATCTCAAAAGGTTATGCATTATACTATCTCATTTATAGAATTCTCAAAATGACAAAATTATGGAACTGGAGAACAGATTAGTGGTTGCCAGTGATCAGGTATGAGGCTGGGGATGGAAGTAGGCATGGGCCTAAAAGGGAAACCTGAGGGATCCGGTGGGATGGAAATGACTGTATCAATGTCGATATCCTGGCTATAACATTGTACTATGGTCTTTCAAGCTGTTACCACTGGGGGAAACTGGGTAAAGAATATGCGTGATTTCCCTGTATTCTTTTTTTCCAACCATATATGAACCTACAGTCCTCTCAGAATAAAAAGGTTAATTAAAAATAACTCAATAATCGGATTAATTGGTGGATTAAATGCAGATGAAGAAAAAATTAGTGAACTAGAAGAGAGATCCAGAAAAATCATCTAAGTCATATTATGGGGCTAGCAGAATCTCAATATGAAAAGCAGACAGGGACCAGAAAGGAAAATTGCAGGCCAATTTCACTTGTGAACATAGACGTAAACTCCTACGGAATATTATCAAAGTGAATACGACAGTGCATAAAAACATTCAAAAACACGTGGGCCTCTCCTCAGAACTCTCTGAATGTTCTTACAGCTCGAAGAACAAATGAATGTCCTTACAATCTGTCTTCCCCCAGAATAAGTAATCAGAGAGAGAAAGGGAAGAGGAAGAGGAGGAAGAGGAGAAGGAGGGAAGGGGGAGAAAAGAGAGAGAGAGCCCAAAGCCATGGTGCACTTTGCAACCTTGTCCCTGGATTCACACACTGTCGGTTCAGCTTTCATCTTTTCATCAGAAGCAAATAGATAAATCCAGTTCACTTTCAAGGGATGGGGAGTTAAGCCCCACCTCTGGAAAAGAGAAATATAGACTAATCTGTTGATATAATTTAGGACCATCACGATGTTACTTGTGACAGCAATATAAATACGAAGTATCCAGAAATAAACATAACCAAATATCCATAAGCCTCTTTCGGAGGAAGTTACAAAACTTTATTTAAAAGAGCTAAAGAAGACCCAGAGGAGGGATAAAGACCATAGTACTAGACAGGAAACCTCAAGGTTTCACAGAGCTTGTTTCTCCTCACCTTGATGTACCATCCAGTGCAAATTTAACCCAAATCCCCAGGAGACTTGTTTTCCATATGGAACTTGAAAAGATTATTGTAAATCATACATGGAGAAATAAATGGCCAAGAATAGCCAACACACTCCTGCAAAAAAATACCATGGTGATCAGTGTTGGGCAGGGCAATTCCTTGAACAGATATCAAGACTGACTATGATCCTGAAGCATGGCATGCCTTTAGAGAAGGTGGGAAACCTTGAAGGCCCCAGCATGAAGATGACATGGATCAACAGGCTCTTGTCTCCACTGGGGGGAAAGCAAAGAGCTGCTTCCTTTTTGCTGAAAGTTTGACATCACCTAATATGTTAAATGTGTCCCTATCAAAACCCCAGCAAGCAAAGGCGCCTTGGCATAGGCCCTTGAAAAGGCTGCCCAGTGCACCAGAAGATACATAGGAGAATGTCTGGAGCAGTGCAATTCACAGGTAAGACAGGCAGAATACACCCAAATGCCCACCTACCAACAATAAGTGCAGTATACTCAGACGAGAGAATGTTCTCCAGCAGTGAAAATAGATTTGCCATATGCACAGACATGGATGAATCTCAAAATCACCACATCAAGCAAAAGAAGCAAACAAATTCCAGACTGTGCAGTTACCTGTGTGTAACTTCAAAGAGAGAGAAACTAAGCAGTCTATTGTTTAGCGACACACATAGAGGTGGGGCAACCGTAAGGAAGGACAAGGGATTCAGTTGACTTTGAGGGCAGTGTTTGGCGGGTAGAGAGTTGGAGAGAGAGACAGAGGGAAATGTGATCGGGGTGGAACACTGGGAGGTAGGATGACCAACTGCCCGATTTTGCCAAGAAATGAGAAATTTCCTGAGGTTTAGAAATGGGAAATTTCCTAAGATTTGGAAATGGGAAATTTCCTAAGATTTGGAAATGGGAAATTTCCTACAGTTTAGAAATTTCAATGCTACAACCAGCACAGTCTTGGGCAAAGTGGAACTATTGGCTACCCTACACCAAAAGCTTCTAAGTTTCCAGAACATTCTGATTTGGCCCTGTGGCTCTTTATCTTACCATTATTTTTAAACTAGATGTAGCAGGTGAAATGGTACCCCCCAAAGATATATCCACATCTTAACCCCCGTTACACTCCAAAGTGACCTTATTTGGGAAAAGAAAAAAAAGCGTCTCTGCAGATGAAAATAAATGACGACTCTGAAGATGAGATCATTTGGTTAACCAAGTGAGTCCTAAATAAAAAATAAGTATCCTTATACGAGACAGAAGTGGAGAAGACACAGAGAGAAGGAGAGAGCCGTGTGAAGATGGAGGCAGAGTCTGGAGCAATGTGGCCACAAGCTCAGGGACACCTGGAGCCCCCAGAAGCTGGAAGGGGCAGGGAAGCCTTCTCCCCTAGAGCCTCCAGAGGGAGCATGGCTCTGCTGACACCTCAATTTTGGACTTGTGGCCTCCAGAACCATAAGAGAATCAATCTCTTTTGTTTTAACCCAGCAGGTTCATGGTAATCTTTTGTGGCAGTCACAGTGAACCAATTCACTGAGTGCATATATTTTTACACCCTGTTTTGGTTACATAATATATTTTAAAATAGAAAGAAAAATGTTGACACTGCCCCCCGCCCCCCCTGCTTGCTTCCAGGTAGCAGCTGACACACCACCCCTCCCACCACCCATAACCCCCTCCCCAGAGTAGGTCTGCAGTGCGTGTTTGAAAGTCCCCTATTTTGGCTTCTTGTGCATATGTAAGTAAATGCTTCTAATCTTCCCTGCCAGATGTAAATATCCTTGAAAACACCAATCAAGACTTATGCAGTGTTCATACCCCACAGTGTCTAGACCAGTGTCAATCAAACAATAGTGCGCAATCAACGCTGCTGAGCGAATGAATCAGTAAATTAGTGTCAGCAAAACTCTATGAGGCAACAACCAAGCCAGGTGAGACTCCCGATGCACACCGGATGTCGGGACACTGGCACACCCTGTGGATGCAGCCTGGAACCAGCAGGCTGCAGTTCTCAGCAGTGCCCGGTCTGCCTTCCATCTTCCATTTCCAAATTGCCCGCTCATCCCCCGCCCCCTGCCTGCCCTCCCATGTGCTGTGTCTGCGTCCACCTCTGAGATGCTGGTGTTCACCGCTCAGCTATGGTATTTCCCATCCCATGAACCACAAGCACACATTGCAGACGGTTCCCAGCACTGTCTGTGGATTCTCATGGCCAGCATGTGAGGTCCCAGGCTCCGGGTTTCCCCTTTGCTCACACCCGTGTCTCCCAGGCTTGGGCAGCCCATACACAGTTGTTAGGACAAGCCAGAGAGGCCAACACACCTCAAACCTGTGTCCCAAAGACAGTGAGAGCAAATGGCTGGCTCGCTTGTGGACGGGGACGCTGCAGCAAGCCCAGGATGCCACAGCTGCCTCCACCTCCTCGTGCAGCACACAGCTTCTGTTTCTGCAAAAGCACTCGTCACCCTTCCCCACCAGGTGCTGCATAGCAGCCCACCCGCAAGGCTTCACCAGTCTCCCTGCCTGGCTTCCAGGTGGGCTCAGCCATTGGGAAGCCCTGTCAGGAGATGGGAGGGAGGGAGTAGGGGAGGAGAGAGAAGGGGGAGTATTTATCCACACTACCCATCCTTGCTCTCTGCCTGCAGGGCTCCCACAGACTGGGTGCTTTCCTTGGGTGATGGACACAGCTCCTGCAAGATTCCCCATGCCCCTCATTTCCACCAGCTGTTCTTCCCCCTTCTCTCTTCAATCCACAGCATGGTACATGCCCCGCGATCCCATGTCCTGCACAAAGCACTGTGCCCTCCCCACACTCTGCCCACCTTCACATTATCCTCTTATTAAACTCTCCTTAAATTCCACAAACTGAGGATGCATCTGTTTCCCACAAGGACTCAGGCTGGCCCAGCACCTGTGACATTCCCCAGGAGGGCACATGGTGGGATCTCACCACCCTTTCAATCTTCCAAGCCAGTGGGGCACCAGGACACACTTACTCCCAGGTAGGGCATCAGGATACCACAGGCCAGAACTTAGAGAACAAACTCCTGGTCAGAGATCACATGGGCAACGAGAAGGAGCAGTGGGTTCTGAGAAAGGAGAGTGGACAGGCTGCCAGGATCCCCATTCAGGCCCGCTAACCCACCTGTCTTAACCAGGAGAGCAAGGCCCAGCCAGGCAGTGAGGCTCAGCCCAATCTGCGTGTCCCAGGACTACAGTCTGCTCTGCCTCCCAGATACCGTGTCCTTACAGAGATTGAACTGGCATCACCAGTTCAAACCCCAGCCAGTGAGATCTGCTAGGAGATGGGGACAGTGAAGAGCTGAGATTGAATCTGAGGTCAGAAAATACCAGCAAACCACCCAGGGGGGATTTCCAGTGAAATTAGACATAAGATGGACAGGGAGTTTCTGGGGCTGCAGTGGAGAAGGGCAGGATGGCAGCAGGACCCACCAGTGCAGGAGTCCTGGCCATGACCATCTTTGCTCTGCCTGGAGCACAGTTTATGATAAGAAAATGATGGCATCCTGCTTTGGGATCTTGGGTGTCCAGGGTAGGGAATTACACAAAAGGATTCTATTTTTGTCATTTGTCATTTATATTAACCAGCAAGTCAACGATCTTATACACACACACAAACACACACACACACACACACACACACACACACACACACAAAATTGTCAATCACTCCCTTGTCCAGACACTTCTTAGGAGAGAACCAAGGCCAATCTCGAGTCCAGCACTTGCCTGGCCTGGGCCCTGAGTCCACAGAGCCAGATCCTCTCCTGGACGTCACATGTCAGAATTCCCTCCTGGACACCTGGCCCGGATCCACGTCATCTTCTGCCTCACAACAAGCAGTGCACTTCCTGGACATGAAGTCGCTGTTCATTAACAGAGGCCAGGGAGCGTGCTCAGTTTGATAGGGAAGAGTTTAGGGAAGAGTTACGACGGCCACGACTTCATCTCATGAGAGAAGCAGCTTCCCAGCAAAAAGTGATGAATTGTGTCTGCTGTGACTTTTCTCCTGGGAGTAAACCAGATGACCTGGGTCCCTCGGGCAGCTCCCATCATTGAACCTATTCGAAGCTTGCATTTGGAGTTGAAGGGGTTGCTGTTACTGAACAATAACCACACACAAATATTTGTGAGGATTTTAGCAGTGATCAATGACTGCATCTGAACAGTTCCGTTAGATGACCCCAAAGCATAATTAGCCCATGTTAGATCATCAGGTATTACCACATTTAGCTAAACTTTGGAGGCTAAATTTACTACATATTCTCATTTTGACCTACTTCAAGTAAAGAAGAGATACAATTGTTTACAAAAATGAAAATTATGTCCCCACAGATTATTTCTGCTTGTTAAATGATTATTTCTTCCCATAGAGTAAGTTTGGAAGACTCTAAGAACAACCATAGGACAATGCATTGAGCGTTTACGATGGGACAGGCACTGCACATTCTCATTAACCCTCGTGAGAAAGCCACAAGGCAGATAATGCCAACATTCCCATTTCATGGATGAGGAAACTGAGGCAGGTCAAGACCGAGCAGCTGCTCAAGGAGGCAGAGCCAGGACCTGACTGTGGCCCTTTCCTCTGTGAGCTCACAGGTCTAGTCCTCACTCTATGTGACCAATCTCCTGAAAGACCACACCTTGTCTTTCCAACATGCAGTGGGGCCCTGCCTCTGAGCCCAAACCCCCTGGGGGGAATTATCCCCAGAGCGAGCACGGCAGTGGTGCCCCCATCACTACCTCACCAAGGAGGCACCAGTGTCTCACACTGAAGCATCCCTTCCTGGAGTTTGAGTCCTGACCAGAAGCATCTCAGGACCTTTCCGGATCCAGCCCCCAGGGCCGCTGCCTCACCCCAGGTTTCTTCATCCCACCACCACTTTATGCAGACAATTCTGATTCCAAGAAGGGACCATCCCTTGAGATCTGGCACCAGCCTCCACATCTCTGGGTGTAGACCTACGCCGATGAACCATCTCACCATGCTGAGCACGTGTACCTTTTTCCCTTCTACAGCTCAGGTACCTCCAGAGAGCATGAACCACAGCTCATTATTTTTGCATCTCCAGAACCTGGACCAGGTCTTGGCACAGAGAAGGCAGCAAGCGTTTCCCAATGAATGAATAAAATGTGGAATCTGGTGAAATTCCTGCTCTAGGAACCAATGATTATGTGGTTGATTCAGAAAATGGTGCATAAAAAAATGGAAATATCCTCCATGTTTCTAAGATAAAAGCCTCACTTTGGCCGTGGCCTGGACCATCCACACGGGCCTGGTTGCACAGGGCTAGTGCCCGGCATACCATAGACCTTCCCTGGACCTCTTCCCTGCTCTAGGCTGAGCCCGGCCACAGGGTTCCTAAAGCGACAGACTTCCCACAACCTCCAGGTGTGTCTGGCCACATGTCATCCTTGCCTGTCAGAGGCCATGCCTCTGCTGTAACCCCAGAATGTTTTGAATGCTTGTACTCAGAAAATCCAGATAGCCTGGAGTGACCCCAGGACGCACTCCCACAGCATCCCCATTGGCTAGATGTCCGTCTGCAGGACATGATCCCCTTCCACACCCCTACACCCATGCTGACACCCACCTGTTCCAGGACAACCAGTTCAAAGGCAGAGAGGTCGAAGCAGGAGCCAGCGGCCCTGCCTCAATATATAACGGCCAGAGCCACCCGCTCCCCTGTACCTGCTCTTGGGGCCTTCAGGCCTCTCTGAGCAGCCAGGGATATGGAGGCAGCTCTGGGTCAGCGATGCAGAGAATCTGGAATCTTCCGGCTCTGTACCCAGGGCCCACTTCTGCCGCACAGCTGGGAAGTACTTGTCTCCAGGCTTTTGAAGTGTACAAGAGTCACACACTCCTGAACCCATTCTATACTGCTGACCCAGGAAGACTAGACGCTTGGATGACTTTCCACCCACTGTGCCGTGGGTCTGTGCAGCACACCGTAAAATCCATGGGATTTTACATCAGAATGTTCTGCAAAATAAATAAGAAAATAACTTCAGAGTCTGAGTAAACCACCATCGTAAATAAAGTGTAAGATGTAACGAGTTTACTGAAAGCTAAATGTTCTGCCTTTTCAGTGTGCTTTTCTGCCCTAGGGTTCAAATAATCAGCCAGCTGTCCCCTCCAGCAACAAAACCCTAATAGACTGAAACTGTCGGACTGCAAGACTGCATGAGGGATGCAGTTTACTCATATAAGATGCCATCGATCATACATAAAAAGTATCTAATTCCTAGACCTGAGTGTAAGGAACTCGGAAGGAAGCTTGTTGGATGTTCTACAAGTGTGGGGATTTCAGATTCATGCAGAAAAGGCACAGGGTGAAATGCTGCAAATGGCTTAAGAGGAAACCCTTCCCTTCCATCCCATGTACTAGTGAAGTCATCATGCAGAAGGTCGCTCTCTGAAAGAACTGGAAGGACACTTGTCTCCATCCTCATCCTCCTCTGATCACGATTGGACGTGTGGAGGGAAAGGGCCCCGCACCCGCCAGCATGCTTGACTGACAGCAGGCAGGCCTTGAGACAGGCCCTGGGTCCACAGGAGCACAGGCAGCCAGCGACTGTCCTGCCGGCTCAGGCCATGGCTGCCATGTCACTCAGAATCCACGGGGAAACGGTGGGGCCGGTTCGAGCCAGGGCCGCTGTGTCACTCAGAATCCACAGGGAAACTGTGGGACTCGCAGTTCTGTAGGTCCAGCAGCTCCTCGCCTTGGCTGCCCCAACCATGTCCTGGAAACTGTGGATTTGGGAGGAGAAGAGAAACAGAGCTAAATGGTCAGTGAAAATTACCCATTTCATCAAAAAATTTCCAAATTCAGACCCCAGTAAATTACCTGGGATCCGGCAGCTGCTGTGCACAGCATATAAGGGATCGACAGAAGTCTTCTTCCCCCTTCCTCTCCATTATTTGCTTGGAAGTGTCCAACCAGTGTGTGGGCTGCAGGAGCCACAGACAAGGCCCGGCTGGCACTCTGAGGCCAGCTCCACCACCCCAAGGCTGCTCTTCTGAGCCTGGTGGGCTTTCCCTGAGCAATGCACCCAGCTCACCCCTCTGACCCTGGCCTGTGGGGCACTGGGCAGGGACCTCGGGGAGGGACACAGATGCTCAAAGGCCCAACCTGGGTCGGCTTCCCCTTCTGCCCCTGCCATTCCTTCCCTATCTTTGCATTTCTCCCTGCAGCTGGGAACAGTGTGAATGCACGCTTCCACCCTGTGCCCATGGGGTTCCTGAATGCTGGCGATCTGGACTATGAATTTCCAAGGTGAAGGAGAAGTTCATCCTTCCTTCAGTTTCACTTTCCTGAAAGGCCTCCGGGCAAACCATGGCCAACTGAATCACCTTTCCTAGAGTGCCAGGCTCCTCTCCCAGAGAAAAGACAGCTGTGGGCCGTGTCTGAGCTCACATGCAGGAGGCATGGCCAGACACCTGGGGCAAGTGTCCGGGAAAGCACCAGCCCTGAAGCTCCACCAGACTGAGTCACTGCCACCTGCCCTGAGCATCCCTGTGTCACCTGGCTGGTTTCCCCACAAACTGCCTTCTCACTGGTCCTCATGGGGGACGATCACCCCATGGAAGGAGGCTTCTAAATGGGCCACTAGCCCCAAGAAGCACAAGCTCAGTCTCTACCACACTTGGGTTTGCCGTTTTGAAGCGCTGTGCTCTCGGGCTTGATGCCACGTGGCTGGTTCACTACAGCATTCAGAGCGCCCTGTGCAGGCCCAGCACCTAGGAGGTGCTCAAGAAACATGAACTGTGCAAAACGTCACTTAACGCAGGCTATGGCAATACCAGAAGCAAGCCTGGCTGAGTTTTACTTTTTGTTTAATTCTTTACTGCAATCATACATAAAACAAAACAAAGGCAATGAAATGTAAAGAGAAGAATGGCAACCATAAACCATCATCTACAGGGCTGAAACAAGGCTTCTGTCTCTATTTTTCAGATGAGCCCCTCCATCCAATATTACAATTAGTTGCTTGTATTTATGGAACAGAGCACCATCACATACCACACACCATAACAAACCCTGGGCTTGCTCTTTGTAAGCATTGGAGAACGATTATTTTCTTACATACATATAAATGCATATGCACTTATATACACAGTAAATACATTTTTGCTCACACAGTATGCACATGTGTGTTCACATGTACACAAATATGTGTACACACATAAATTCATATGTTCACACACACAGGCACCTGAACACATATATGCATGCAAACACACACAAATCCATGCATGTGTGCATGCACACTTAAACACAGTTACACACAACTACACATACCTACACATACAGACAAGGCTCTGGGGAAAAGCGGCTGCTTGTGGCATGATTGCTGAGATTTCTCTGGGTCTAAATTGATACTGCCTCCTGTGTCAACAGAGTCTCGTACCTACAGCCAGACAGACTGAGGAAATGCCAACCCTCTGTCTTCCAGCACAGCCCTGAAGCCAGGCTCCACCCCTCTACACTCCAAAAAGGGAGACATCCAAAGGTTGATTCAAACCAGAAAATACTTCTCTACTTCTTGTGTGCTATCCCTAGGTTAGTCTTTATTTCTCCATCTATATGATAATATGCCTCAACTTTGCTTCTTATAGAAATGTTCAAACATGCATGAAAATAGAGAAAAGCATCAACTCAGCCCCTCACATCTATCACTCCGGATCCAGCCCCACTCCATGTCCATGCTCCTATTCTCTCTCCTCTGCTATCAGTTGAGGCAAGTGGAGAGCCAACAGATAAGGTGGAGCAGGGCAGTCTGTAGAGGACTACGTGCTTGCAGACAGGGTGTTCCCCATAAGTCCTGCTCTCGCAAACGAAGCAGGGCGTTCCCGATAAGTCCTGCTCTTGCAAACGAAGCAGGGCGTTCCCAGTAAGTCCTGCTCTTGCAAACGAAGCAGAGCGTTGGGGGCTTGTTTATGTGTAAACATCTTGAAAATCCAGAAAGTCAGGGAAAGGTCAGAAAAACAACAATGTGTCTTGTGACTTGGCAACATTCCACAAATGACTGTATAAAATAAAGCAGAGCGCGCCATTCGAGGCGGCCGCCATGTTTGTCTTGTGTGTTCATTCCTTTGTTTACGAAACACGCGGACCCCAACAGCAGTCCTCCCCAGCCCCGGGGCTGCATCCTGGCTTGGCCTCACATAAGCTGTGAGGTCAGGCCAGCCAGCCGCTGAGCTGAGATCGCTTCTCCCCCATAATCCAGATGACAATGTTCACTCCCAGGGCCATTTGAGATTAAATTTTAAAATGCACACAAGGCTTCATGCAGTGTGTAGCACCTTATAAGCATTTCATGAACAGTAGTTAAAATTAGTAATTCTATTGTTAGCTGTACTTCCAAACACCAGAGCACAGACAGCAGAGGAGCTAGCCCAAGGTCACAGGCCCATGAGGGGCAGATGGGCTGGGCCCCAAGATTCTGCGTCTGCTCCTCGGGCCCTCCTGAGTGGGAGAAGGTAGCTTTGTCTTCAGGCCCTGAGGCCCCTTGGATTCAGCAGAAGCCTAAGAAGCAGAGCCGTGTGTATTTTAACTCCAAAAAGTTATGCTGAAAAACAGATCCATTCTTGAGGCATTATTTTCGTGAGTTTAGCAAATGCCTGAAAGGTACCTTCCATGAAGTGTGAAAGTCCAAACACAATTTGTTTAACTCAGTTTTTAACTCTCAAGGAAGCGTTCCTTTCTCAGCGCTCTGAGCCCAGTTATGGTTGTGAAATCCCGGCCCATCTTCCACCGAGCGGAAGGATCCCTGCCCATCTTCCTCAGTGTCTGCAAGGAGGAGGGCTTATCTTCAGAAGGGCCAGGACAGCCCCGCATGGACAGGTGCCTCAAATTCCCTGTGGCGCAATTTCTTCTGCTGAGCATTCCACCCTGATGGATTTGACAACCTGCTCCCCAGGTTCGGAGCAGCCCACAGTTGTCCCCGGGCTGCAGCGGGAAGAGGGATGAAGCCACACATGAGGGCTCCTGACTTCAGACAAGGGAAGGAGGAATCCAGAGATTCACAAGAGAATTAAGCAAAATCAAGCATCCTAGAACCCTCAGCATGGGTGCCAACCAGGACCTCAGGCCTCAGGAGGCTACTGGGGAAGCAGGGAGAGGCTTACCCACTCACAGAGCAGATCTGAGCCTGGAGAACACCAGCCAGCACTGGGCCACACGGGGTCCCAGACCCACGTCCATTGCCCAGGGTCCATACCCCATACCCAGTGTCCACACCCAGGCTCCACACCCAGTTTCCACCACATCGAGGGTCTACACCCAGGGTTTACACCCAGTGTCCACACCCAGATTCCACACTCAGTGACCCAAACCCAGTGTTCACACCCAGAGTTTACAGCCAGTGTCCACTACGCCCCGTGTTCACCACATCCAGGGTCCACACCCAGTGTTCACCACACCCAGGATCCACACCCAGTAACTCACTTCCAAGTTCCATACCCCATGTCCACACCCAGGGTTTACACCCAGAGTCCACTACACCCAGGGTCCGCACCCAGTGTCCACCACATCCAGGGTTTACAGACAGTGTCCACCACACCCAGCGTCCACCACACCCAGGGTCCACCACACCCAGGGTCCATACCCAGTAACTCACATCCAAGGTCCACACCCCATGTCTACATCCAGGGTTTACACCCAGAGTCCACCACACCCAGGGTCTGCACCCAGGGTCCACACCCAGTAACTCACATCCAAGGTCCACACCCTGTGTCCACATCCAAGGTCCACACCCAGTGTCCACCACACCCAGGGTCTGCACCCAGTGTCCAAACCCAGGGTCCACACCCAGTAACTCACATCCAAGGTCCACACCCTATGTCCACACCCAGGGTTTACAGCCAGTGTCCACCACACCCAGTGTCCACCACACCCAGGGTCCGCACCCAGCGTCCACACCTGGTGTCCACACACAGGATTCACAGTGTCCCACACCCCTGTCCATACTCAGGGTCCACACCGAGCCCCACAGACAGATAACGAGGGAGAGACCAGCAGACTCCCAGGCAGGATGTCTGAACCCAGCGGCTGTGCTGTACCCCACGCTCTCCCGCTCTCCTCCTCCAAGCTCAAACCTTTTATGATGTTTGTTCTTGCGACTGGTTTATTAATTACTCGGAGGGGCTGGGACATCGGTTGAGAGGATGTGCAAGGAAGTCAGCGCTCCTGGATTAAATAAAGCACATCCTAATTCTGTGTTTCCAGCCCTAGAGTGAGCGTTTTTCCAGTACGAGCTGGGGAAGCATTTATTGTTCTGAATGTGTTTACCTTAGAAAATGCATTGCAACTGGATCCACTGAGCCCTGGCTCTCCGGCCGGCTGTCCCCACACAGCAGTAGCTGGTTTTACAGGGTGAGCCAGGGCCCAGCACTTAGCACAATTCCCTGACCACATTAAACATTCAGTAAAGACTGGGTGCACAGAATCCTAATGCCGTTCATTCTCATAGGGCTTTTCCTGGCTCAAAAATGGTTCCTTAACCACAAATTCATTTCAAGAGACATGTCCAATGAAATTAACATTCTCCCTGCGACTGGAGATCATTCCTCAGTCACAACCGAGCTCCGTGTACTTAATGACATGCTTTTTAAAAAAATGATGGCTCTAGTTAAAGTTGAGTGGTCATTTCATTCCCAACTCATCTTTACGGCTCTTAAAGAATGTTTAAAATTCCTTCAGCTGAGCCTCAGGCTAAATGTGAATTTTTTAAGAAAGTAAACAAACATTGAGATTCCCATTTGGGAATTAGTGAGGAATGAGCCATTCACAGCTTGGTTTCAAAGTAATGGCTCAGACTCCAGCTTTGGCAGAAGTTGGAAAATGTAGACTGGGCCCTTTGAGAAAAGACTTTTTTTTCCTCCAAATAAATAATTGTTTGAAAGCAAGTGAGGTGGTAGGCAAAGTAATTCTTCCAATGCAAGGCTCCAGACAGCAGGAAGAGGCCCCTGGGAAGGTCCAAATCAAAAAGCAAGCCTAGGCCGCGGCAGGTAGCCAGGACCACCAACCACCCACAGGGAGCAGCCCCCAGGCCCTGGACTCTCTGGGCCCTGTCACCAAGCTCTGGGCTGTAGGACATGTACAAGGCCCTGTAGGTCAATGTCCCAACTCAAAACATATTCCTACAGGGTCACCCCCTTTCTATGTCAGGAGTCAAACTTATATAATTGGTTATTTTCTTATTTTCCTAGATAATTTGAGACATTAGACCCACAGTTCTCAACAATAACTGCACACCGGAAATAGCTGGAGAGATTAAGAAACACAAGGCCTGGCTGTCGCCCACAGAGGTTCTGATTTAGTTGGTCTAGAGTACACCTGGTCGCAGCATTCCGATTCAAATGTGCGGCCGCAGCCAAGAAATCCCTGGTTAAAGGAATCCATGAGTTACCAATGCCAGCCAAAGGTGAGCGCCTGGAAGGAGAGCAGGAAGGAGGAGAGAGAGGGAGAAGAGGATGAGGAGCAGGGAGAAATATACCTTGCAAAAGATGGATCAATGTTCCTAGACCAAATCCCCTGAGGATCAGAAGAAAATTTCCCAGGCGTACTTCATGCTTGAGAAGGATATAATAGGAACAGAAATGCAATAAAAATAGTCACTCAAAGGCAAGATTATCAAACAAGGAAATAAGATGAAAACAGAAATTGCAGACTCCAGGAAACAAGTTGACCCAAAACACCATCATTACAGGAATCCTACAGAGAGTCAAAACATTGAGAAAAGAGGCTACCGCAACCAACACCAAATTAGTGACTCAGGAAAAAGGCTGTGGTCACCACGGTGGAGGCCAGTGCAGACATAGCAGGGAGTGAAGCAAAGAGAGAGAACTGACCCCAGAGACAGCGATAGTCAAGCATAAGGAAAACTGGCTCCCCAAAAAAGAGCCCAACCTGTGGAAGCAAGGCAGTGCAGGAGAAAAGGAATGATTCACAAAAGAAATGCCTTGTGATTCTACAGCTCATATCAGGTTTCAGCATAAAATTATACAGAACAATCTATCAGACATATCCTGGTGAAGGTCCTGATTTTCAAGGTGAAAGAAATGATTCTTGAGGCATCCAGGTAGATAAATAATTCACCAACAAGGCTGAAAATAATCAGGCTGGCTTGGAGTTCTCCGCAGCCAAAGTCTATTCAGTCTGCGGGAGGCAACGGGGCAAAGGCTGCAAAGCGCCCGGGAAGGGAGCTTGAGACACCAGGATGTTCACTCCAGCTAAGGTCATTTAACGTCAAAGACAATGAGCAGGCACTCTCAAAACTGCCCGAACTCCAGAACTCAGGGACCGGGCAACACCCGTGGGCCCTTCTCGGAAGACCTGCTCAGTCAGAAAGTTCAGGAGATGAGAATGCCGGCAGAAGGGCCTTCCTAGGACTTCGTGCTGGATGCCAGAAAACCGAGGAGAGGCTCTACAGAGTGCTGAGGTGAGGACGGAAGGCCCACTGCAGGTGCAGAGTGCATGTGGAAAGAGACAGCGTCCCCATGCTCCCAGGACCTCAGGGAGTATGGTCACTGGGTTCTTCTAAGAAAAAAATCACTGGCACCAAATCTCGCAAACCATGAAATGAATAAAAATGACTTAGGAAGGGAGACGTCTTCATTAAAGCCCTGGTGAGGAAGGATGAGTCCACAAAATACAGAGCTGAGACTAAACATCTACGTGAAGTCAAGTTACAAAGTGATCGCGCGGGCTGTGAGCTTTGGTAACATTCGAATCATAGCTAACAAAACATTGAAGGTGGGGGAAGGAGACAGGAACTGTGGCTACATCCATTCCTGTGTCTTTCTTAGTAGAGAATGAGAAAGTGAAAACACATGGTTAAAACCGTATGTCTCCACCCTTACCATCTCTCACAATTATTTTCAGAACCTGGGAGGCATCATTGCATCACCAATATCTCTTCTAATTAGAAACATGCATCAGAAATCCAGCAGTCACTTCGGCTTTGCTTTCTGTTGTTGTCTTCATGTAAAACTGAATGGGTACATATGTTAGAAGATGGCACATATCGGATCATCTCATGTCATCATACATAGCAAGCGGCCTACGCCAGCCTCCCTGCTCCTGTGTGCCACGGATGGGCTCACCAAATGTTACCCAAGTAATGGGCAAGTGAGTCAGTGCCTTTTTTAACTTTCTTATGCATATCTCTCTTTATGGCTTAGCTCTTTAGAAGAGAATATGTCTGGCTAGGCACGGTGCCTCATGCTTGTAATCCCAGGACTTTGGGAGGCTAAGGTGGGTGGATCACCTGAGGTCAGGAGTTCGAGACCACCCTGGCCAACATGGTGAAACCCTGTCTCTACTAAAAATAGAAAAATTAGCTTGGCGTGGTGGCAGGTTCCTGTAATCTCAGCTACTTGGGAGGCTAAGGCAGAATAATCACTTGAACCTGGGAGGCAGAGGTTGCAGTGAGCTGAGATCACACCACTGTACTCTGGCCTGGGCAATAGAGCAAGACTCCATAAAAAAAAAAAAAAAAAAAGGAAGAGAATATATCATTGTTCTAAATACAGTCAAGTCCAAAAGGTAAAGCTTTTTCCGCTAGACAAAACCTATAGGGTACCAATTGCCCAAATTGCCCACTGTGGCTTCATTCACTTCCAAGTGGAGCCCTTGTCCTGCCTCTTCCTCAATCCCCCGGACCCCACTGCCTCTCCCATCAGTCTACACCCCTGCCTCTGCCCTCAGACAGTGAGTCTTGGGGATCTAGGACTATGGAACCTCAACCTCCTCAGACGGACTGAATACAGGCTGGTTGGTGGAATCCACCCCCTTTCCTTCACTAATCTATACACTCCCCAAGAACGGAGATGGCACCTCTCTCTCCAAATACCTAGGAGACTGACCGGTGCCGGATACATGCTTTAGTGAAAGTCAATTAAAAAGTGAGTCACAAGGCTACTTACGAACTCTATGCCCATGCATATCACGGTGCAGCCAAAAGTATTTGCTCATAACATTTAAAATACGAAATTGATACGGTAAATATTTGCTAAGAGCTTATTTTCTATAAATAGAGGGAAAGTTTTCAATAGTTAAAAAAAGGAAAAAAATGTGTCCTGCCATTTTTCGGAAAAGATGGACCTCAAGTAGCAGGAAGACCAGAACGGTGCGAATGAGGGGCAAGCACAGGCCACACCTGCGCCCGCTCACAGCCAGGCCCTGCAACCTGACTTGGGTCTTTTCTCCAAGTGGCATTTGGTGCAGCCCAATTGTGATCAGGTGGGGGTTTCACAGGTCTAGCTGCATCCTGGGAAGATCTCCCACCTGTCTGGACCAGAGCACAACCTCAGAACACGGTTCTGGAAGGACCTGAGGCTAAGGAAGGCGCCACCGGGCCCTGGAAATGCAAGCCCCAGGGTCTGGGGTGGGGCCTCTCACGGTCAGCTCCTCCAGCGCCAGGCTGGTGTGGCAGGCCAGGTCTCACTAACACAGGCCTCCATAATGACTGCTTCTGCACTGACTGAATGGTTAAGTTAAATATTAAAAACTGAAAGAGCCAGTGCTTGTATTCAAAGGCTGGAATGTAACAAAAGCCCACCCAGAGCTGTGCCTAGGCCTTTCCTGGGCCTTAAAGCATGACAAAATAACGAAGGAATTTGGTCCTGTTGTGCTTATCTGTTGCATGCATAACAGATATGCACCTGTTAACAGGACCCATTTAGGATTAAACAAGCTTTATTGTAGGTCTGAAGAAACTCCCCAGGCCTCCACAAGCAAGTTGATTGGGGGTCTGAAGGAACTCCCTGTCAAGCGCATCTGTGTGAAGAGACCACCAAACAGGCTTTGTGTGAGCAATAAAGCTGTTATTCACTTGGGTGCAAGTGGGCTGAGTCCGAAAAGAGAGTCAGCGAAGGGAGATGGGGAAGGGATTGCTTTATAGGAGTTGGATAGGTAATGGAAAATTACAATAAAAGGTGGTTGTCTATTGTTAGCAGAGGAGGAGGTTGCAAGGTGCATGATGGAGAGATCATAAGACTTACTGTCCAGAAAAAGAATGTCACAAAGTCGACTGATCAGCTAACGTAGGTTAGGGACAAGTCACAGCAGTAAAATATTGTAATTTCAGTTAATCAGTTAAGGCAGGAACTGGCTGTTTTACTTCTTTGGAGTTTCTTTGGCTGCTCCAGACTTCTCGGCTCCTGCAAGCCACCTGGATGTGTATGTGGAGGTCACAGGGGTTATAATGGCTGAGCTTCGGCTCAGAGGCCTGACACTCCCCAAACCTCCGTGATTTAGCAGGAGACAAGGGTAATCACCCCAGCACCTGGACCCATTTAGCGTACGTAAATTTCCTCAGGCTCCAGAGGAAGGGCTTCAGGACTCAAACCCTAGTTATGTATTAGAAGTTAATCGCTTATGTCTTTAGATGAATATACACTTACACATAGACATGAAGCTTCGACGGTATATAAGCTCTGGAAAACTTTGTAATTTTGAGTTGGTCTAGCAATATTTTCCAGGCCTTCTCCCTGTAACCAGTTACAGAAATAACAACTCCCTCCTGTCCCCGTTCATCTGCATCACATTTCCGGGTCTCGAGAATAAGCAACCCGACCCTCCATTTGTTCAGGGAACACTGTCATGCCCGGGGAGGGGACACTCTGTTTCCCAATCACTGTCCACCCCTTGCCAGGTGGCGGCTTTCATGCCTGAGGCCGGAATGCTTCTACAGAGGTGGGGTGAGGCCATCTGGAGAACAAGGGATGGCCCCAGGGTGGCTTGGTGGCTGAACAGCAGTGAAACTGGGGGAGACCAGAGTCCCGGGGTCCACCAAGAGCTGAACCTGAGGTGGAAGCCTGTTTGTCCTGGGAGGCTGAGCAGCGCTCGGTCCCATTCACACATTCTGAACTACTTCCCCTGCACGGGGTTGAATGGCACCGCCGGGAAGTTGGTGCCCACCTGGAACCACAGAGTGGGATCTTATCTGAAAATAGGGTCTTAGCAGATGTTTTGAGTTAAGATGAGGCCATACTGGATTAGGGTGAGCCCTAAATCCAATGACTGGTGTCCTTATAGGAAGGCCACGTGATGGCAGAGACTGGGGGGCTCTGCCACTGCCAGCCAAAAAGTGCCAAGGACTGCTGGCCACCACTAGGAGTGGAGAGGCAGGAAGGGGCCCAGGTGGAGCCGCCAGCGGGAGCGCGGCCCCACCCACACCCTGATTTCAAACGCAGCCCCAGAGCTGTGAGGCAACAGGTGTCTGTTGTTCTAATCCACTCATTTGTGACACTGTGTTAAAGCCGACCTAGGGAAAGACCCCATGGGGAGGACGTGTGGAGAGAAAGGTTCCGTAGGAGCGTCCCAGGGCCTGCGGCTGGGGGAGTCGGGGGCAGCGGAGCTGGCCGGAGTCATCCCTTCCTCTCCACGGCTGCCGCGCTGTCGACGCCCTGCGGCCCTCACTTCTCCAGCAACATCCACAGCTTTCCAGTCGCGTCCAGCTCTCCAAACTTCACCCCGCCCCGTCTGTGCTATTTCAGAGCTCCCATGGCTACCCACGCATGCCCCCGCGCCACCCCATTGCAGCCTGGCCCCAGCTGGGAGGCAGGACCCCCTTTCTCC